AAGTATTAGCCCAAGAGACAGAAAGGGCCACATAAACCAGAGACTTCATCAGCCCGAGACCAGAAGAACTAGATGGTGCCTGGCTACCACCAATGACTGCCCTGACAGGGAACACAACAGAGAGTCGCGGATGGAGCAGGAGAAAGGTGGGGTGCAGAACTCAAATCTAGTAAGAAGACCAGACTTAATGGTCTGACTGAGACTGGAGGAACCCAGGAAAGCATGGCCCCTGGATTCTCTATCAGCCCAGAACTAATACAATTTCCGAGGCCACCTCTTCAGACGGGTTGGACTGGACTGTGGGACATAAAGTGATACTCGTGAGGAGTGTGCCTCTTAGCTCAAATAGATACAAGAAACTAAACAGGCAGCTTCTGTCCAGAGGTGAGACGGGAAGGCAGAGAGGGTTAGGAGCTGGTTGAATGGACATGGGGAATCGGGGGTGGAAAGGAAGAGTGTGCTGTCACAGTATGGGGAGAGCAATTAGAGTCACATAACAATGTATGTACGAATTTTTGTATCGGAAAAAAATGTTAAAAAAAAAAAGAATGTTGGATTAATAAAGAAAACTAGAATTTCTTACCACTGAAACAAAGTCCTCGAACAAGTTCATGAGAGGGAGCCTAACTAATGAGTTTCGACAAGGGTGTGGTGAGGGGTGTCACACGGTATGAGGAAGATCCATTTAAAATCAGAGCACCTGGCACTAAAGTCTGAGAAGGTGCTCTCAGGTGAGCCCCTAAGGGCAAGCTGATCAACATAAGTGTCTAAGGAATGATGACCCTCAACAGGAGCAAAAATGAACAAGAGTAGTCTCATCTTCTATCTGGGTATATACCTGACGTTGCTTCCTTACATAAGGGGTAGCATGAACTGAGATTTGTTGCGTTTAAAAGAGGACCTTGAAAAGCCAGGGGGCAGTGGTGGTTCAGTGGTAGAATTTTCGCCTTCCATGCAGGAGACCTGGGTTCTATTCCCATGCGATTTACCACATGCACAGCCACCACCTGTCTGTCAGTAGAGGCTTATGTGTTGCTGTGATGCTGAACAGGTTTCAGCAGAGCTTCCAAACTAAGATGTACTAGGAAGAAAGGTCTGGCAATCTACTTCTGAAAATTGTCATCAGTTGCCGTTGAGTCGGTTCTGACTCATAGTGACCCCACATACAACAGAACGAAACACTGCCTGGTCCTGTGCCATCCTCACAATTGTTGCTATGTTTGAGCCCATTGTTGCAGCCACTGTGTCAATCCATCTCGTCGAGGGTCTTCCTCTTTTTTGTGGATCCTCTACTCTACCAAGCATGATGTCCTTCTCCAGGGACTGGTACTCCTGATAACATGTCCAAAGTACATGATATGAAGTTTCACGATCCTTGTTTCCAAGGAGCACTCTGGCTATACTTCTTCCAAGACAGCCTTGTTTGTTCTTTTGGCGGTCAATATTCTTTGCCAATGTCGTAATTTGAATGCATCTATTCTTCTTCATTCTTTATTCATTGTCCAGCTTTCACATGCTTATGAGGCAATTGAAAATATCATGGCTTGGGTCAGGTGCACCTTAGTCCTCAAAATGACATCTTTTTAACACTTTAAAGAGGTCTTGTGCAGCAGATTTGCCCAATGCAATACATCGTTTGATTTCTCGACTGCTGCTTCCATGGGCGTTGATTGTGGATCCAAGTAAAATGAAATCCTTGACAACTTCAATCTCTTCTCCATTTATCATGATGTTGCTTACGGGTCCGGTTGTAAGGATTTTTGTTTTCCTTATGTTGGGGCGTAATCCATACTGAAGGCCGTGATCTTCATCAGTAAGTGCTTCAAGTCCTCTTCACTTTCAGCAAGCAAGGTTGTGTCATCTACATATTGGCAGGTTGTTAATGAGTCTTCCTCCAATCCTGATGCCCCGTTCTTCTTCATATAGTCCAGCTTTTCGGATTATTTGCTCTGCATACAGAATAGGTATGGTGAAAGGATACAACCCTGATGCACACCTTTCCTGACTTTAATCCACGCAGTATCCCCTTGTTCTGTTCAAACGACTGCCTCTTGGTCTATGTACAGTTCTGCATGAGCATAATTAAATGTTCTGGAATTCTCACCCTTCACAACGCTGTCCATAACTTGTTATGATCCACACAGTCGAATGTCTTTGCAGAGTCAATAAAACACAGGTAAACATCTTTCTGGTATTCTCTGCTTTCAGCCAAGATCCATCTGACATCAGCAATGATATTCCACATTCCATGTCATCTTCTGAAAATCAGCCAGTGAAAATCCTATGGATCACAACCACCTGGTCCACAATCATGGGAATGACGCAACATTTCCTTCCATTGTGCGTGGCCTTGCCATTGAGTTGCTATGAGTCCTGGGCCAACTGCATGGCAGCTAACAACAACTTAAAAGCCAGCATTGGAACATAGTCTCTGTCAGGAATGATGTTATAAACACCATATGCCAACAATGGAAAACTCAAGCCAAACTTAAAAAGTAAAATCAGACAGTTGGAAAGCTGATGCTGAAGGGGAGAAGTTACTCAGAGAAGAGTGAGGGAGGAGGTGGAGAGTTTCGTGACCATTTCTAGGTTCCTTCTGTTCCCCGCCCCGTTGTTTAATGGCACTGGCTTTTTCTTTATTTAATTTGCTCTTCAAAATGTACCCACCCTGATGGACAGCTGTCATTAATAACACTGTTGTGCAGATCATGCATGATTTTTGTCCCATGGTTCTTCCTTTTTAATGTTTTATTTGAAAAGGCAGAAAGGGAGAGAAAGAAGCAGGTAGAAGAGGTAGAAGTAGAAGTTGGAGAGAGATTTCTTGAGGTCACTGGACACAAATTAGGGGACACTTGGAGAGTGACTGTATGTGACAGTAAAGGACTGCCTGAGTTGGAAGTGACCGAGTCGCAACCAGTGAAAGATAGTGTAAGTGGCAGGTCCAGTCCTCTGTAGGGGCAGAGGAAGGTGCTGGGGAAGAGTTGAGGGTCCAGGGGATCCGGGCACTGCTGTCTTGATGGAGGTTGCATGCAAATGACCCTCCACATCCACCCACAACAGTGGCTCACATCCTTGGCGGTATATTGGAATCACTGAGAACTTTTACAAATCCCAGTACACGGGCTGCACCCTCACATCTGTGAGACCAGAATCTCTGGGGGTGGAGTTGGCATCAGTATTTTGTAATCTCCTACGTGATAAACGTGCAGTCAAAGTCATGAACCACCAAGCTGTGATGATGGCAATGAAGGTAGTTAAATTTATAGCAGGTTCCTGAACATTAAAAAGGGCAAACTGAAGACAACCATGAGAACTGGACTTATTAAATGCAGATTCCTGACCTTGGCTAGAGACTTGGGTTCAATGGGTCAGGGGTGGGGCCCAAGAATCTGTGGTTTTAACAAGTGTCCAGGTGGTTTTTATCAGGCAACTTTGGGAAAGCCTACCTCTAAGACTGGGTGAAGTTTCGTTTTATTTATACATAAGGTTGCTGTGAGTTGGAGCTGACTTGATGGCAACTAACAAGACCTCACCATTGAAAATGTGGTCTTTGGAACTGTAATAGCAGCACCAGCTAGGAGCTTGTTTGAAATGCAGAATATCTCTGGACCCACCCCAGACCTACTGAGTCAGCATCTGCATTTTACCAGGATCCTCAGATGATACATGGGCACCTTCAGGTTTGAGAAGTGCTGCTGTAAGGTATCCATCCTCTAACTGGCCTGGTTTCTAGAAAAGTAAGCAGCAATTCTGGCCATTTGTTTTCTCTGGTGTGTATAAAGAGAAAGCAAAAGATGGAAGTACTATGAAACCTGTCTTACACACCCTTAGAAACAGTCGGTCACAAACCAGGACCTGCAATAATGACCCGGATGTGTAAAATCAACTGCAATATATAAACCAGTAAGGTACCATTTACAGAAATTTCAATGTTGCTGTTGTTGTCAGGTGCTGTCGAGTCGGTTCTGACTTGTGTGCAGAGCAGAACTGCTGCATAGAATTTTCAAGGCTGTGACATTTCAGAAGCCGATCACCAGGCTTGTCTTCCAAGATGGGTTCAAATCGCCAACCTTTACAGCTAGTAGTCAAGTGCTTAACGATTTTCACTACCCAGGGACTCTTTCTATCACTCCTTAGAAGTTTCAGTACTCCTGCCTCTTCATGTTGGATTTGCTCTTAATTTAGGAATCCTGGCTTCAGGTTAGCTCCTCAAAAACCATCCATCCTGTTGAGGGTGGCAGTGGTGTTTTGCTAGAACACTTCAGTGGTGTGGTTGGGCTTTTCTCCCGGTAGCTTTGTTCTGGCTGGGTGGCATCCAAAACTCATTTTCTGCCTTCCCATAGATTCTGAAATGGACCTAATATATATGTAATAATTCCTTTCTGCTTAAAAAAAAAAAAAAAATCCATCCTGTTTAATTACTTTAGTTTCATAGCACCAAACAAGGAGTTGCTGAGATTTTTCCATCTAAGTACATGCCCCTAATTTCTTATAGAAAAAGTAATTCCATCAGTTTCCAGTAGTAAAGAAAATGACAGGGACCACGTTACCGCCTTCTCTTCCGTTAGCTGCTTGATCCTGGCTTTCAGTTTCTCCTCCTGCTCGAGCCTTTCCTCGGACAGCTTCTCCTTTTCTGCCAGATGCTCCCGCAGCTTTTCCTGCAGCAAAGACCGCTGCATTTCCTGGAGACTGTCCATCTTGATCTGAAACGAGATAACTGGAGCTGATGAGGGACAGGTCTAACTAAAGAGTCATTTCCATATTTCTTTACAAGTTGTTTACCTTGGGGGAGGGGACAAAGGTTTACAAGAAGCTTTCTTAAAAACACAGAAAAATTATGCTCAGCCTAGTTACTGGCAGGGAAATCAGTAGGATATAGTGGTTAAGAACTCACGTTCTGGATCTAGGCAGAATCCCGGCTCTAGTTCTTTCAAGATGCTTCACTATCTAGCAGTCAGCTAACAGTCACAAGGCCTGGGCTTTTGCCTTGACTCTTCCACCAACTATCTGTGTGACACTGAAAAAGTCACCTAGCCTCTCTGGATTTCAATGTCCATAACTATAAAATGAGGAGAATGCACTGGGTCAGGGCTTGGCAAAATCACTGTCCGCAGGCCAAATCTGGCCCACGGCCAATTTTTGTAAATAAAGTTTTATTGGAATACAACCATGCCCATTTATTTACATAGTATCTATGATAGCTTTCGCTCTACAACAGCAGAGTTGATTAGCTGTGACAGACTATGTGGCCTGCAAAGTCTCAGATATTTACTATCTGATCCTTTCCAGAAAAAGTCTGGGGACCCTGGACTAACTACTCTGTGACTGATTGCAGTGGTGGTCCCAATTCTTCACCCTCCCTCTTGCTATGTAACTTGCAGTATCTTCCCATACCCCTCCCCTTGCCACTGAACTTAGCCATGTCACTTGTTTTGGCCAGTTGGATGTTAGTTGACATAACACAAACAGAGGGTTGAAAAAAGCTACATGACTGGGCTTGCTCTGTCTTACACCTCTGCCATCGCCATGACAGCATGCCCAAGCTAGCCTGCTGGAGCATGGGAGACACATGGAGCAGAGTAGAGTTGCTTCAGCTGAGACCAGCCTAGATCACCCAAGGTCCAGCTGACACTCAGACATGTGAGCAAGCCCATCTAAGATTGGCAGAGCCACCTAGCTGCTGACCCCAGACATGTGAGCAATATGCACTACTAAAGTTCTGTAATTATTACACAGAATTATTAATGGCAATAACTACTTGAGTGATACAGCCCTTAAGAATCATTTTGCCTCTATGCCCTATGTAGCTTTTGGTAATTCCGCTGCCTGTGGTGCAGATAACTGTACTTCTACAGCCTTCAGAGCTTTGAACTGGTTAGTTCCAGTTCAAACTCCTGTTGAGAATTTGCATTTCTAACAAGTTCCCAGGCGATGCTAATGCTGCAGGTTAGGGACCAGTTCTGAGAACCAGTAGTAGAGCAGTGGTTCTCAAAATTTATCATACATAAGAATCACCTGGGGATCTTGTTAAAATGTAGATTCTGATTCAGTACATCTGGGGGTAGAAATGTACGTTCTCAGCAGGGGTTTGAATTGGAATGAACCAGTTCAAAGCCCTGACAGTATTTAATAAACACAATTTTCAAAATCTGATGGCATTTAAGTCTTTCTGGATCTTGAAAGAGGAAAACAAGCAGTGAGATCATCCCAAGAGGCCAGACAGGGGCAAGCAGACTGCCCTTGCCCTTGCCCTTGCCCTTCTGGGAGATTCTCAGCCACTCTGTTTGATTTTCTTCATGTGCAAAGGGAGGCATCCTGTTGGAGGATGTTGACTGATGAGCTAATAGAGAAAAAAACATGTTTCAAATGCACCACTTTACCACTTGCTGTTGAGTTGACTCCGACTCATGGCAACCCCACATGTGTCAGAGTAGAACCATGGTCCATACGGTTGTCAATGGCTGATTTTTCAGAAGTAGATTGCCAGGCCTTTCTTCCGAGGTGCCTCTGGGTGGACTCCAACCTTTTGGTTAGCAGCCAAGCACAGTGCTATGTAAATGTGAAGGAAGAGCTTAAATGAACTTGGGGGGAAAACAGAAGTTATAAGATTACCTGAAGTTCCTGGGTCTGGCTCATAACTTTCTGATAATGTTCCAGAAGATATTTCAGATACATAGGCAACCCTTAAAAAGAGAAGCAAGAAGATAAGTATTGATTTGATTCAAATCTTTGCTTTCCAAATGATGTCTTAACAAAACTTGCAGACTGATAGACGAAGGCAATGCTGCATTCCCATCATGAAAACCAAGTTGCCTTCCAATTTTAAAAGGGTTGATAAGCTATGCTTGGGCTCACATCTAAGTTTCCTTTTTTGGAGGTGGAAAATAAAAACCCATCAACAGAACATCTGTTTACTTGGCGTCTGCTGTGTGCAAAGCAGTGTGTTAAGTGTGGAGAGAAGACATGAAGAGGCCTGTATCTTTAGGACTCACAGTTTAGTCTGAGACACAGGGTATACATGTACAATAAACCCGTTACCTTGAGTTGACTCCGACTCATGGAGACCCCATGTGTGTCAGAGTAGAACTGTGCTCCATAGGGTTTTCAATAGCTGTGATTTTTTTGGAAGTAGATTGCCAAGCCTTTCTTGGAAGGTACCTCTGGGTGGACTCGAACCACCAACCTTTCGGTTAGTAGCTGAGTGCCTTAACTGTTCGCACCACGCAGGGACTCCAAACGCATGACAAGAAACCTGAAATGACTCCAGGCAGCACGTAAGCGACTGCTGAACAAGTGAGGGAGAGTGTGGGGGTCTCAGAGGAGGGAGAGACCATCCATCAGGAGTGATCCAAGATGGCGTTATGAATTGAATTGTGTCCCCCCCGCCCCAGCAAAAAAAAAAAAAATGTTGAAGTCCTAAGCCCTGGTCCCTGGGAATGTGACCTTGTTTAGAATCAGGTCTTTGAAGATGTCAACAGTTAAGGTAACATGAGGTCATACTGGAGTAGGGTGGGTCCTATAAAGGAGGAGAAGAGACACTGAGAGAAGGTGGCCACGTGACATGGAGTTACGCTGTCACTGCAATCCAAGGAGTGCTTGGGGTTCACCAGAAGCTGGGAGAGACAAGAAAGGATTGTCCTTTAGAGCCTTCAGAGAGGACATGGAAGAATCAAGACACTCTGAATTTGGAATTCTAGCTTCCAGAACTGTGAGACAATAAACATCTGTCCTTAGAAAGCCATTTTGTGGTACTTTGTTACGTCAGCCCTGGTGGAGGCATCTCTGGATGTGGGTGTTTTGGGCAGGCAGAATTCAGAGTTGGAAGGGAGGGCGTTTCTGCATGGGGGACGTGGTAGGCTGAATAATGACCCCCAGAGATATTCAGGGCCTGATTCCTGAAACCCGTGAATGTTATAGGGCAAAAGGGACTTTGCAGATACGATTTAGAATCATGAGGTGAGGAGATTATCCTAGATTATCTGGGTGCGACCAATGTAATGACAGAAGTCTTTGTGTAGAGGGAAAGATAAAGGAAGATTTGACTACAGACAGAGAAGAAGGCATGTAACGGAAGCAGAGAGAGCTTTGAAGATGCTCTGCTGCTGGCTTTGAAGTCAGTGGAAGGCCACGAGCCAAGGAATGCAGCTCTTGAAGCTGGGGAAAAAAAACCATTGCTGTGCAGTTGATTTTGACTCATAAGGACCCTATAGGACAGAGTAGAACTGCCCCATAGGTTTTTCAAGGAGTGGCAGGTGGATTCAAACTGCCGACCTTTTGGTTAGCAGCCGAGTTCTTAACCACTGTGCCACCAGGGCTCCTTGGAAATTCTATGGGGCAGTTCTACTCTGTCCTATAGGGTTGCTATGAGTCAGAATTGACTCGATGGCAACAGGTTTAATCTTTACGGAAGCAGAGTGCCACATCTTTCTCCTGCACAGGGGCTGGTGGATTCAAACTGCCACTTCTTCAAGGTTATAGATGGGGACAGGGGTAAGAGTAAGAGTAATAGTGTTGTTGCTGTTGTTAGTGGTCATCAAGTAGGTTCCAACTCATAGCAACCTATGTGTAACAGAACCGAATTTTGCCTGGTCCTGCTCTATCTTCATGATCGTTGGTATGTTTGAGTCCATTGTTGTGGCTATTAAGAGTAATAGTGAAGGGGCTAAAGAAGCAGTGGGTGCCAGTGAAGAATATTATTTTCAAGATGGTAGAGCCATCTCGAAGTGTATGTTTGATTGTGAGCAGGAGGGAGCTAAGAGGCAGAGGAAGGCTGTAGATGCCAGAGAAGATCACAATTCAGGACCTTGTGCATAAGGTCCCTGCGAAGGAGAGAGAAGTTGTCGTTAGGTGCCATCGAGTCGGTTCCAACTCATAGCAACCCCATGTACTACAGAACGAAATACTGCCGAATCCTGCACCATGCTCCCAATCGTTGTTCTCCTTGAGCCCACTGTTGCAGCCACTGTGTCAATCCATCTCGTTGAAGGTCTTCCTGTTTTTTGCTGACCCTCTACTTTACCAAGCATGATGTCTTTCTCCAGGGACTGATCCCTCCTGACAACATGTCCGAAGTATGTAGGACGTAGTCTCGCCATCCTTGCTTCTAAGGGAGCATTCTGATTGTACTTCCAAGACAGATTTGTTTGTTCTTTTGGCAGTCCTTGGTATATTCAATATTCTTTGCCAACACCACAATTCAGAGGTGTCAATTCTTCTTCAGTCTTCCTTATTCATTGTTCAGATTTGCATGCATAGGATGTAATTGAAAATACTATGGCTTGGGTCAGGCGCACCTTAGTATTCAAGGTGACATCTTTGCTTTTCAACACTTCAAAGAGGTCTTTTGCAGCACATTTGCCTAATGCAATACATCGTTTGATTTCTTGACTGCTGCTTCCATGGGTGTTGATTGTGGATTCAAGTAAGATGAAATCCTTGACAACTTCTGTCTTAGTCATCTAGTGCTGCTATAACAGAAACACCACAAGTGGATGGTTTTAATGAAGAGAAGTTTATCTCCTCACAGTTAAAGTAGGCTAAAAGTCCAAATTCAGGGCGTCAGCTCCAGGTGAAGGCTTCTTCTCTCTGTCGGCCTTTTTCTCCTTGGTGTTCCCCTGGACTAGGAGCTTCTCTGTGCAGCAACCCTGGTCCAAAGGACACGCTCTGCTCGTGGCACTGCTTTCTTGATGGTATGAGGTCCCCC